GGAGGAAACACTTGATTTGATCTCTCAGGAATGGTTGGAAGATCTAGGAAAGTCAGCAGTCAAGAGAAAGAGCATGAATAAGATGGATGAACTTCTTAACATGGCTAACAAGGCACTGCATAATCTAGCCTTCCTTCACATGCCCCACCTCCCTTCCTGTCTAGTACCTGCAATGCACACAAGAATACAAAGCTATTGGTCCAGCCACATTGCAGAGGACGATGTGAATTCTGTCCAAGTTCTTTCCTCTGTCTAAAATTATATTCTCCCCAATTCACTTGTGCTGAGCAAACTTTCTGTCTTAGTTTAAAAGTCACCATTCTGTCTTAATTTAAAAGTCACCACCCACAGGAAGAATTTCATTAAAATTGAGTTCAGCATTCCTAATACTTAGTTTCTATATAGTTTTAACTCGATCATAACACTTTTCACATGTATGCCTGTACTTAAGTACCTTGAGGATAATAATTTAGTTCATTATTGAGGCCAATATACCTAACAAAACCAGTAGCCCAGAGCAATATCTTTGTATATATTTATTAATTGACTGATAATCAACTTTATCTCCTTTAAATCTATCAATTTTATATTTTTATATTGGTTTCCCCCTCAGTTCTCATGGAATAAATGCCACAAATGCATTTATGTGAGTGACTATCTTTTCACACACACACAAAAATTAGATCTGCAAAACAAAGGATTTTGCAAATAAATCCGCCTCTGTTGGTGATTAGCAACAATGGTGAGAAAATTCTGGCAGTACAATTTAAAAGAAATGTACTTAGAAGGTACATGGTAGATCCAACTTACTCTGTAAAGGGTATCTGAAACATAATTTCTCTGGATTATCTCTGAATTACTACTGTCTCTTGGCAATATTTGATTAAAGTTGAAATGTTTCTTAGCAACTGATTCTCAAAAGAAAATGCAATTTTAGGAAGAGATAAACCAATGTTTGTTTCCTATCTCTGCCAGACAGAAATAACCTCAATATATTAATGACAAGAGACCAGAATCCACAGGCAGAAACAAATTGCCATTAGTAGGCAAGTAGATTTCAAGTATTGGTTTTCCAAATCTAGTTCATTTCCAAATTAGATAAATTTATAACCTGTCATTAATAGGTTATTTTCAGCCACAGAAGGGATAATGTTAGATTAAAATTTGACTTCAGTGCTTGGTTTGTGGGAATAGTAAGTTCAGAGCTCTGTGTATTGTTTATCATTCTATAGCCCTCCCACCTTGTAAATCCCGAGTTCAAACCCTATATTGTTCAGTTATGTTTCATCTGGCTTTAGGGTATGAGATTGTTACTACCCTCAGACAATGGCTTCTGCATTTTGATACTATGAGGCTAACAAAAAACAGTCTCTAGCCCAGATGCTAGTCTACACTTCTGTGAGATGAGAATCATTCCTTAGTTTGGCATCTTGCATAAAGACTTACTTTCTCTTCTGAGAGGATAATCAATATTCATTGTAGGGTTCAGAATGGTTTTGTATCCATTAAAAGTTGCAAAACAGAAATTTAATGTAGCCCAAATATTCCACATTGACTTTGAGTCACCTCCCTGTGTTTTAAAAATTGTTGATCTTTAGCAACACATAGTCCTTTTTATTTTCTATGTTTGTTCTGCTGCAGGAACCTTCTCACGTCCCTAAACCCGTATTAGATCACTAAATCTTCACACTGACCTTATGAGGTAGTGTATTAATCCATTTTGCATTGCTTTAAAAGAATACCTGAGGCTGAGTAATTTATAAAGAAAAGAGGTTTGTTTGGCTCATGGTTCCGCAGGCTGCACATGAAGCATAGTGCCAGCATCTGCTTCTGGTGAGGCCTCAGGAAGCTTACAATCAAGATGAAAGATGAAGGGAACCAGCATGTCACATGGCAAAGGAGGGGCAAGAGTTTGGAGGGCTCAGAAGAAGAAAAAAAGACAAGGGAAAATTTGGAACTCCTTAGGGACTTGCTAAGTGGCTGTGACCAAAATGCTGACGGAAATACAAACAGAGAAGGCCAGGCTGACAAGGTCTCAGAAGGAAATGAGGAATTTATTGGGAACTGGAGCAAAGGTCACCCTTGTTATGCCTTAGAAAAAAGAACTTAGCTGCATGGTGTCCATGTCCCTGGAATTTGTGGAAGGTTGAACTTAGGAGTGATGACTGAGGGTATCTAGTGGAAGAAATTTCTAAGCAGCAAAGCATTCAAGATTTACCCTGGCTGCTTCTAACAGCCTACACAGATGTGGGAGCAAAGAAATGACTTAAAATTGGAATTTATTTATTTTTATTTTTTGATGAAGTCTCCCTCTGTCGCCCAGGATGGAGTGCAGTGGCATGATCTTAGCTCACAGCAAGCTCTGCCTGCCTGTTTCATGCCATTCTCCTGCCTCAGCCTCCCAAGTAGCTAAGACTACAGGTGCCCATCTCCATGCCCGACTAAGTTTTTGTATTTTTAGTAGAGATGGGGTTTCACCATGTTAGCCAGGATGGTCTTGATCTCCTGACCTCATGATCTGCCCGCCTCATCCTTCCAAAGTCCTGGGATTACAGGCATGAGCCACCGTGCCCAGCCAGAATTTATATTTAAAAGGGAGGCAAAGCATAAAAATTTGAAGCATAGCCATGTAGAAAGAAGGAAAAAGCATTTTCAGAAGAGGAATAAAAGAGGGCTGTAGAGCCACCACTTGCTAGATAGATTAGCATGACTAAATGGAAGACAAATAAACCTATTTTTCTTTATAAATTACCCAGCCTCAGGTATTTTTTGTAGCAACACAAACAGATTAATACAAGTACACACTATTATCAATGACAATAATACTATTGAAAATTAAGGAAAATTAAGGCACAGGGAGAAACACAGAGTTTGAAAGAGATAGGGCCAGGTGCAGGAAGGTTCTAGGAAAGTCAGGCTGCTATTGCATGGTGGGTAATAACAAGGGCAGGGGTAGGGCAGGACTTGGAGGGAACTTCTGTGCATTCTTCTGGCACTTCATAGCATCAGTAGCACTAAATTGTGGCCAGAGCCATTTTAAATCATTCCATCCTTAAATGATAGCAGTAATTCTCTATTGAGTTTTTTCTAATTACACTAATGTTACAGTAGCTCCTTTTGGGCCCAAACTCAGCTAAAACTTTAACACCTAAGCTGTAGAAAGATGCTAATTAACTTGATACCAGGAGTCTATACAGTGATTTTCTGCAATTTAACTGCCTGTATGTTCTTTTTTGTTCCTGTTCTCAGCCTTGTCTCCAGTCTACACTTTCACTTTCCTTGACCCCCAAGTCTCCTCCAAGAGGTACTCAGGTCAGGTAGTCACATATCTTAGCCTTGTTCTTTCCTACCCTCTTTATTCTCCCCCTTCCCCACTGATCCATGTCCCCAGAAATTCCTTCCCAAGACAAAACACAGCTCCATCCCCCAGCCATCACAACTCCTCCTCCTCAGTGTTACTCCTAGTCAGGGATACCCACTGACCTTCCATTCACTGTTACAACCACCCCACAGTGACACAGGTCCTAGCATGAGGCAAGCACCCAAACCTCTCTCCTGGGTGTTAGACCTTCATGGAACAAGAAAAGAAACATCTCACTCATTGCCTTCCTCCTCAGGCCAAGGATGCTTGACTTCCTGGAAAGGGGTGGGAGCAAAGAGGGGTGAGAGAAGGAAGGGCTGTATAAAGGAGGCACTTTGTGTCCTAGGATAATAGTAGAGACAATACTCTAAGCAGTTTCTCCCCACTAAACCACTTAAGGGAAGGGGCCATGAAAAGGAGCTTTCTCAGAACTTTTTTACTCTAGTTGTTTCTACCCCAAATCACTACATCTGCCTGCTTGTTCATTATCTTTTGCCTGAAAGTTTTATCAACTTTCTCTTCTCCATCCCACAACTCCCTTCACATAAACATACCCAGACACAACTCAAATTTTTAGCCAGCACTGACCTCTTAGTGAATGCTTGCTGCATGATGACACGATTAAAGCAGCAAGTTGGCCAAGACCCTACAGTCTCTGACTTCAGGATTACATTGAATTGGGGTGTGCCTGCTTAACAGGAAGGCTTAAACCAAAACATCAGGGAATATTCTGTCCCCCATCTCCCACCACCAGCTAACTAACTAACAATAATTAAGTGGAAAGAACAGTGAATTACAGCTAAGAATAACACAAGATACAGATTATCTCTGAGGAGCTAACATGCGGTAAAACCCTCTGGCAAAGTAGCCTACATCTTGAATAAAAGTTATCACTAAAAGAATATGAAGGCTGGGGTGCAACAAAGGTTAACTATACAACATACTTGAAACTAAGCCAAGCTATGGCCTGCATAAACACAATTCGCAGACCAAAAGGTTTACCACAAGGACAGGCAAGCTCATCAAGCATTAAAAAAAAAAAAAAAAAAAAAAGAAAGACTTTATTATCTTCTTCCATGTACACATCAAGATCCATGTAATGCTGTGTCTTAGTGCATCCTATTAGGTGGTACTTGATTTTAATTGATCCCATTACTGATGTTTACTTTAATCATTTTGCTTTAAATTTACTTTAATGGAGTTGGCTGCTAGACATTCACTAAAATGTTACTCATTTTCCCTCTGAAATTGAAAGAATTTGAGGGAAAATAAATTGAAACCTTGTATATCATGTTCTTCATCAAACCTTTAATTAACTTATAAGAATATGTGTATGAACTTACCATGTCCAATTTTATTCAGGAAGTAAGAATATTCTGAATTTTGTTCGGGAGAGCCCTTTCAAGTTCCTTCCTTTATCCTTTTGATGTGTCAGCATCATTACTTGAGCATCTTCTTGATTTTCCACAAGTTGTATAAAGTTTGTCTTGTAGCTTTCCCTACCCAAATCCTGGGATCAACCATTCTCAAAACAAGCCCAGTTGATTTGAGTGGAAAATAGTATCTAGAAGCCAAGATTTAGGACTTGGTGGTCAAAATGTTGACCTGAGATGTGATACATTTCCTTTGTTTTTTCAAGGTAAGAAAGATGGGCAAAGTGAGCCACTGCTGGGAATGAGCCTAAGACACCATATCTGTAAAAGTCACATCATGCTGAAGGAAAGCATTCCTGCAGTGGTAAGGTCTCAAAGGCGGGTATGGGAAAATGGGGGGCAAGGACAAAAATACTTTTATAGAATCTACCTTTTTGTTCTAAATCCTTTGGTTCTTTTAAATGCCTGCTATTAAAGTGTGCTAAATTTAATTAAACGCTGCTGGTGAGGTAGAAAAAATAGTAAACTAGAATGTAAGTATCATGGAAGTTAAGCCACAGAAACCATTCTATTACTACCTAACAATGTCTCCCATATACCAGCCACATAATAATTGTGTTTTGAAAAATAATCATAAGTATGTCATTTTCATTCATTTTTGTCTGCTTTATGGTAAATCCATTTATTTAAAGACTACAGTATGTCTTGACTGCAAATAAACTTTTTTACATTAAAAATATATTCTCTTGCCTCCATCTGATTTCTGCTTCTAGAATTCTTATTGTGCATGAATTGAAATTGACATATTTGTTTGCTAGGTCTTAACTTTTTTTCTTTATATTTAGTGTTTAATCTTACTTCTGGCAGAGTTTCCAAAACCTATTTTTTATTTATTGTGTTAGCTATATTCTTTATGCAAACTGTTGTTCTAGTGCCTCCATCATACTTTAAAATATGGTCATCATATTTTTTAATTTTATTAAAATTTGGCACATCAGAATATTCTTCTTTCTCTATGCCTGTTTCAGAAACAAATACACACCATTCTCTCAAATCTCACTGAGATTCAAATTAAGCCTTTTTTGCAATTCCTAGTATTTTTATTAATTGACTTGATAATTGTTGATGTTTGATGATTTTTCTCCATGTAAATATTCAATGTAAAAATGTTTATCTAGTATTTGAATTTAAATAAGTTCCACAGATAGTGTGCGAGTTTTTCCTTATGTCTTCCTTGCACAGTAGAAGAAAGAAGGAACCGTTTAGATCAGTTATAGTTTCATTTTGCCTAGCCAAAGATCCGGAATCCTATGCAGAGAGAGAAGAAAGGAAAGTAAGATATGGCTGTAAAAGAGATAATGTCAGTACTTCTAATCCTCATTTTGGGTTGGTTTTGCATTTGACTGCCATATTTGCAAGCCCTCCCCTTCTCTAACTGGCGTAACTAAAGCCACATGCAAATACCTCAACTTGACTTGGCATACTGTCTCTACTAAGCATATGCTAGAGATGAGTGCCCTGGGTACCCTTCATCATTGGAATCTGGCATCTGATGAATTATTTAGGCTGCTGGGAGGTCATCTAGACATTGCTTTTTCTGTAGCTCCACTGTCATACCAATGTTCTCATCCATCATTTGCCATTTGGGGTTATTGGCCTTGGTAGAATTCTGCTGGTGGTAACACTTATGGGGAGAGTGGCTGTTGGAAGAGTTTGCTGAAGATGAAAGGGATACCCTTATTTCCTAAGCACACTTTTCCTTTGCATGAAGTAAATTGTGGGTTGGCCGTCCCCTCTCTCAATTCAATCTTTCCACAAAACAAATTACAAATGCCTTTAAGTTTCTGATAGCTGGAAATCCTAGTTTCCAACACTGGTACAGATTTTACTACAAAATATTATAAGTCTTCCCTTTCTTTTTTAATGCTGAACTTTATTAAAAGTGAGATAATAAAAAATTTAAACTATGTCAGGATAACATATCTCACTGTATTGGAAACCATACAAAAACATAATAATATATACCCAATGGCTCAAGGCAACTGAACGCTGTTCTAAATTGCTGATGGGAATTCACAGAGAAATAAATTCTATGGAGGATAATTTGAACAGATATTCCACTTTTCAAATCACTTCCAAATATGCACTAGGAAAAATATAAAATATGTATGCCTGTTTATTCATGAAAGCTTACTTGGAATAGTAAAAAATTTCAAAGAAAGTGAAAGTCCAATTGTAGGGAATTGTTTGAAGAAACTGACATAGCCACTTAATGAGATACTATGCAACTAGTAAAAGGAATGAAAACATCTCTATGTACTTATATAGAATTTTATATGTATCTTACAATATAACTTCACCCAGAAAATTTATAGGTCCTTGATATATACAAAAATAAAATTAGAAGAGAAAATTCAATCCCTAAAAATTAAGAACAAATGGAAACAAATGATTTTATTTATTTTTACAAGAAAATCATTTCATTTTGTTTTATTTCCAATAGTGAGTTAGTGATTCAATTTTTCTTTTGCTGCTCTTTTTAAAGGTGATTTTATTTATTTATTATTATTATATTTTAAGTTATAAGGTATATGTGCACAACATGCAGGTTTGTTACATATGTATACATGAGCCATGTTGGTGTGCTGCACCCATTGACTCATCATTTACATTAGGTATATCTCCTAATGTTATCCCTTCCCCCTCCCTCCATCCCACGACAGGCCCCGGTGTGTGATGTTCCCCATCCAGTGTCCAAGTGTTCTCATTTGTTCTCAATGTTCAATTCCCACCTATGAGTGAGAACATGTAGTGTTTGGTTTTCTGTCCTTGCTATAGTTTGCTCAGAATGATGGTTTCCAGCTTCATCCATGTTCCTACAAAGGACATGAACTCATCCTTTTTTATGGCTGCATAGTATTCCATGGTGTATATGTGTCACATTTTCTTAATCCAGTCTATCATTGATGGACATTTGGGTTAGTTCCAAGTCTTTGCTATTGTGAATAGTGCCGTAATAAATATAAGTGTGCATGTGTCTTTATAGCAGCATGATTTATAATCTTTTGGGTATATCCCCAGTAATGGGACGGCTGGGTCAAACGGTATTTCTAGTTCTAGATCCTTGAGGAATCACCACACTGTCTTCCACAATGGTTGAGCTAGTTTACAGTCCCACCAACAGTGTAAAAGTGTTCCCATTTCTCTACATCCTCTCCAGCATCTGTTGCTTCCTGACTTTTTAATGATCACCATTCTAACTGGTGTGAGATGGTATCTCATTGTGGTTTTGATCTGCATTTCTCTGACGGCCAGTGATAATGAGCATTTTTTCGTGTGTCTGTTGGCTGCATAAATGTCTTCTTTTGAGAAGTGTCTGTTCATATCCTTCACCCACTTTTTGATGGGGTTGATTGATTTTTTCTCGTGAATTTGTTTAAGTTCTTTGTAGATTCTGGATATTAGCCTTTTGTCAGATAGGTAGAGTGTACAAATTTTCTCCCATTCTGTAGGTTGCTTGTTCACTGTGATGGTAGTTTCTTTTGCTGTGCAGAAGCTCTTTAGTTTAATTAGATCCCATTTGTCAATTTTGACTTTTGTTGCTGTTGCTTTTGGTGTTTCAGTCTTGAAGTACTTGACCATGCCTGTGTCCTGAATGGTATTGCCTAGGTTTTCTTCTAGGGTTTTTATGGTTTTAGGTTTAACATTTAAATCTTTAATCCACCTTGAATTAATTTCTGTATAAGGTGTAAGGGAGGGATCCAGTTTCAGCTTTCTGCGTATGACTAGCCAGTTTTTCCAGCATCATTTATTAAATAGGGAATCCTTTTCCCATTTCTTGTTTTTGTCAGGTTTGTCAAAGATCAGATGGTTGTAGACGTGAGGTATTATTTCTGAGGGCTCTGTTGTGTTCCATTGGTCTGTATCTCTGTTTTGATACCAGTACCATGCTGTTTTGGTTACTGTAGCCTTGTAGCATAGTTTGAAGTCAGGTAGTATGATGCCTCCAATTTTGTTCTTTTTGCTTAGGATTGTCTTGACAATGTGGGCTCTTTTTTGGTTCCATATGAACTTTAAAGTAGTCTTTTCCAATTTTGTGAAGAAAGTCATTGGTAGCTTGATGGGTATGTCATTGAAGCTATAAATTACCTTGGACAGTATGGCCATTTTCACAATATTGATTCTTCCTATCCAAGAGCATGGAATGTTCTTCCATTTGTTTGTGTCCTCTTTTATTTCGCTGAGCAGTGGTTCGCAGTTCTCCTGGAAGAGGTCCTTCACATCTCTTTAAGTTGGATTCCCAGGTATGTTATTCTCTTTGAAGCAATTGTGAACGGGAGTTTACTCATGATTACGCTTTCTGTTTGTCTGTTATTGTTATATAGGAATGCTTGTGATTTTTGCACATTAATTTTGTATCCTGAGACTTTGCTGAAGCTGCTTATCAGCTTGAGGAGATTAATATTGTTATGTGTGAATGATCCTGTCATTATGATGTTAGCTGGTAATTTTGCTCATTAGTCAATCCAGTTTCTTCTTAGCATCAATGGTCTTTACAATTTGGCATGTTTTTGCAGTGGCTGGTACGGGTTGTTCCTTTCCATGTTTAGTGCTTCCTTCAGGAGCTCTTGTAGGGTAGGCCTGGTGGTGACAAAATGTCTCAATATATGCTTGTCTGTAAAGGATTTCATTTTTCCTTCAATTATGAAGCTTAGTTTGGCTGGATATGAAATTCTGGGTTGAAAATTCTTTTATTTAAGAATGTTGAATATTGGCCCCCACTCTCTTCTGGCTTGTAGAGTTTCTGCCGAGAGATGCACTGTTAGTCTGATGGGCTTCCCTTTGTGGGTAACCCATCCTTTCTCTCTGGCTGCCCTTAACATTTTTTCCTTAATTTCAACTTTGGTGAATCGAAAATTATGTGTCCTGGAGTTGCTCCTCTCGAGGAGTATCTTTGTGGCATTCTCTTTATTTCCTTAATTTGAATGTTGACCTGACTTGCTAGGTTGGGGAAGTTCTCCTGGATGATATCCTGCAGAGTGTTTTCCAACTTGGTTCCATTCTCCCCATCACTTTCAGGTACACCAATAAGATGTAGATTTGGTCTGTTCACATAGCCCCATATTTCTTGGAGGCTTTGTTCATTTTTTTTTTTTTTTACTCTTTTTTCTCTAAACTCCTCTCACTCCATTTCATTAATTTGATCTTCAATCACTGATACCCTTTCTTCCACTTGATCGAATCGGCTACTGAAGCTTATGCATGCATCAAGTAGTTCTCATGCCATGGTTTTCAGCTCCATCAGGTAGTTTGAGGTCTTCTCTATGCTGTTTATTCTAGTTAGCCATTCATCTAATCTTTTTC